TCCAGAAAAGGCTGGCTGCATTCTTCTGGGCTTGAGGTGAGGCTGAACATCGTGGTGGAAGAGTGTGGTGGAGGGAAGCAGCTCACATCATGGTGATCTAGAAGCCTAAAAATACTGTCTTAAGGTGAAAAGAACAGCTTCAACGTGGGATTTTCATAAGAGTTAAAGATCTCCCTGGGATGGATTTTTGAAATAGACATGATGAATTTCTGACCACCAGCTCTTGTTGCCCAGGAAAGAATCAGCAGAGGGTGCTGTGCTGCAGATGAAGTAAGCATTAATCTAGTGAGGTCTCTGAAAAGGATTTTTTTTTTTTTCACCTTATGGACCAGGGATTTGCAGATGGAATTTTGAGAGTTGCCACTTTAGAATTTTCTTCCTTTTGAGTTCAAATGTACATTTAAAAACTTATAATGAAAGCCATGCATGGTGGTACATGCCTAAAATCTCAATGACTCGGGAGACTGAGACAGGTGGATCACAAGTTCAAGACCAGCCTCAGTAATTTAGCAAAGCCCCGAGTAACTTAGAGAGACCCTATCTCAAGATAAAAATAAAAAGGGCTGGACATGTATCTCAGTGGTAAAATGCCTCTGGGTTCATTTGCACTATCAAAAACAACAACAACAAACCTCATAATATAATGACTATTCTATTCTAGCATTGGAGGTTTTTATAAAAGGATGGTTTTTAATTTGACAAATCCAGGAACCTGTTACAACAATTTTAAAGAAGTTTCTTCTAAGTCCCAAAACACAAATAGTCAATGACCTCACTTACATTGAATCTAAAATAATCAAACTCATAGAAACAATAGAATAGTAGTTACTAGAAGCTGGTGGAGGGAAGGAAATTGGAACTTTCTAGTTGAAGAGTACAAACTTTTAGTCAGGATAAATAAGTTCTGAATATCTACTGTATAGCATGGTAGTTATAGTTAATAATAATATACTGGGGACTTAAAAACTGCTTATAGAGAATAGATTCTAGGTATGGTGATAGGTGTGTTATCAAAACATCACATTTTCACCAATACATAAAATTTTCATTTGTCATTTTTTTAAAAAAAATTAGGAAGCCTAGAATGCAGCTCACCGGCAGAGTGCTTACCTAGCACATGGGAGGCCCTGGGTTCAAGAAACAAAAATTTAAAGTTGACTTGCCAACATGACTAACTGATTTTGCTGAACTCTTCCATCATGGAAGGAGTAGCAGCATTATCTCACTGGAAGAGGAACTTACAGTTTACCCTTACATATGCCAAATGTACATTTACTGAATGCTTTTCAGTATTATACATCATGGTATCCTACAAAATATTGCTTCTAAGCAATGAATTAACTGTGAAGAAGCAGGGAAACTGACATATGCTCAGGGCATTCACTGGTTCTTATTATATTTTTTATCACCTTGAAGGAGCCAGTCAGATAGAAATGTGAAGACTCAGTTACAGTAGCAGTTATATGACAACATCTGTCAAGGCTAGGATTCTGCTCTATATGAACCTATAGGAGTTATTATCATTGTAAGGATGCTGTTTTAGTTAGCTTTTTTTTTTTTTTTTTTTTTTTGCTGCTGTAACCAAAAGACCTGACAAAAACAATTAGAAGAGGAAAAGTTTATTTGCGGGCTCATGGTTTCAGAGGTCTCAATCTACAGATGACCAACTAACTCTTGTTGCTCTGGGTCCAAAGTGAGGCAGAATATCATAGTGGAAGAGTGGTACAGGAAACAGCTCAGGAAATGACAGTTAGGAAGCAGAGAGATAGAAACTCCCCTCTACATGAACAAAATATATATCCCAAAGGTAGGGCCCCAATGACTAATATCCTCCAGACACACCCTACCTGCCTACAGTTACCACCCAGTTGATCCCTATCACAGGATTAATGCACTGATTAGGTTAAGGCTTTCATAACCAATCATTTCACCTCAAAGCTTTCTTGCATTGTCTCATACACGAGCTTTTGGAGGACACCTAAATCTAAACCATAACAGATACTATGATTTATTCTGATTATTAAAATTAAAAATGACTACTATACAATGGGACCAGGGAGAAGATATTAGAACTCAAAGAGATTTTCTGAAGGTTTCTCTTAGAACTTCCCCATAAAGTGAAAAAGTTAATGGAAGGCTCTATAACCCACTAAGGCAAGATCACTAATGGACCAGAACCTTCAGAATTAAAAGTTGTGAGCTGGGTTCAATGGTGCATACCTATAATCTGAGCCATTCAGGAGCCTTAGGTAGGATCAAAAGTTCCGATGCTAGTCCCAGCAACTTAATGAGACCCTGTCTCAAAAAAGAAAGAAAAAAAAAAGGTAGGGTTTCCTGGGTTTCGACCCCCAGTAATAAGGAAGGAAGGAAGGAAAGCTGTGTCATGTGCCAGGTAATGAGCCCACAACAAACTAAAGTACTGGCATCAGCTACTTCTATTCTCATTTCTATAACAGGTCATGAAGCCAGTTTATTTTTATAACTTCCCATTTCTATTACCTATTCTACATGTTCTTCTTTCTGTACCTTGTAAGACTAAAATCTAGCACTGCAAAGTGTTGTAATGCCAGTCAGTGCCATGGCTGCTCCCAATAGTCCACTGCACCATTTTGTTACGCTACCTGAAATAATATGTCATCATAAAAGCAAACAAATGGAACACAGAAAAACAAAACAAACCAAAAAACCTGATCTTAGATAAAATGCTATACTCCCTCAGAAGTAGAAATCAAATCAGTTTTTATTCTATCTTTCAAAAATGGATATCAGAATTTATATAATGTGTACAGAGTGTCAACTGGCTAAGGGCGGTTACATGTTATAGTGGAAAGAATTAAATGTTTATTCCAATATTGCTTCAGTATTTACTGAGTTTTAATTTTAATGTTGCTATTAAGTAGGGATGTGAACCTAAATCAATCTCTTAATCCCTGAATCTCAATTACCAAATTCATAAAATAAAAAAATTTTCAAATGTTTTGTTATAGATGAGTTTTTTAAGTTGCATAATACTTACTTCAACCAAAGCCTTATAAAAAACCATAGTATAAGAATATAAGAAGTGAGTAAAATAACAATAGTGAGGCACATGTGTGTGCATATTCACAACTGTTCACATGTTCTTAACTCTATCATGTGGCCTGAAGACACCACAGCAGAGCACAGTTCAGATCAATGAAATGATCAATAAAATGTACAATGATTATAAGAATTCCAGGGCTGGGGTTGTGGCTCAGCGGTACAGCACTTGCCTAGAACGTGCGAGGCCCTGAGTTTGAGCCTCAGCACCACATATAAATAAATAAAAGTATTGTGTCCAACTACAACTAAAAATAAATAATAAAAAGAATTCCATAATTTTCCCAAGAGAAAATTAAAATACTTCTTTGTAAGTCCCCAGAAAGCAATTTAAAATGAAAACTTCATGTAGACTTGGAAACTGCTGTTATAATATTGAAATAAATAGTAAATGTAATGATAAATGCAAACAGAAGATGGCAGGCTTTAAATTATTTAAAGATGGGAATATAATAACTTCTTTTGTTTAGGTCACTGATTTGGAAGGCACAGAAACCTAGTAGATGTTAAAAAGTTCTGATATTTGCACCAGGTAAATCCATACCTTCTGATTACCAGTTAGATTACACAAGCAAATTAAAAGATTGCATCTGGCACAGGTATTCTGGTATTTGTTGGAAGATTACAATCCACTGTTTTAGTGATCTGGTTAAATGGATTTATTTTTGTGGTACTGAGGATTGAAATCAGAGCTACATCCTCAGCCATTTTTATTTTGAGATGGGGTATCTCTAAATTGCTTAGGGATTCATTAAGTTGCTAAGTGTGGCCGCAAACTTGGAATATTCCTGTAGTAGCCATCTGAGCCTCTGGAATTACAGGTGTGTGTCACTGCACCCAGCTGGTTAACTGGTTTATAAAACAGTATCTTACACATATGGTCAGAGAAAAACAATTTCTTAATACATGCATAAAGACCATAGCAATATTTCCCACTTAATTTATTTGGCAATAGTAAACTAAATTCAGCAGGAAATTATTTAAAACCTATGTACTTAAACTTTTGATAAAGTCACATTTCTGAACTATCATCTTATTCTATGAGAATATATAAAAAATCATTTCTAGAAACTGCTACTAGTTTTTCTGGGCTTTTGTATTGGATTTGAGTGTACCATAAAACAAAGCAGTTCGGTACAAATACAAGAATAACAATTTATCCAAGAAACAAATTATAGTCCACAAATTATGTAGAGATCATTGCTGTATACTAACAAATAAGTATATATCACAGTTTAGGGTGCTCTGACTGACCTAGAATAGAGAACACATTAAGCATTTCAGTATGGAGTTTAAGAGCCCATCTAGTTCTTCACTAAAAGCAAAAACACTATTTTACTGAAACAAGCATCTATATGAAGCAATACTAATTTGGAAAAAAAATGAATGCTCAATACAAACTAGACAGTATTTCTCTTATTTGGCCATTTAGGTTTGTCAGGTCTGTCACATCTTTTCAAAAGTAAGGAAAAGGATCCATTAATAAACACCAAGGCATTTCATTATCCAAAAATTATAATTTCAGACCAGCTGACTATATTTATAAAGGTTTTGACAGTACAAACATTTGTTTTATAATTTTAATTTGTTATATATGACAAGATTCATTAAATTTACATTACACATATAGAGCACAATTTTTCATATCTCTGGCCAGTGCAAACATTTTAATGCAACATAATTTTGTCATGTCCCTGAAAGCTATTAAGCATTTATTTATTTATTTATTTTTTAAAAATATTTTATTAGTTCTTGGTGGCCCTTTATTTATTTTCATGTGGTGCTGAGAATCGAACCTAGTGCCTCACACATGCTAGGCAAGTGCTCTACCACTGAGCCACAACCCCCGCCTGCTATTAAGCATTTAAAAGTGAAAACATTTATTCAATTTCTCAAAAAATATTAACAAATTGAAGACTCACTTTCCATGCATGGTAAGTACCAGAGGGATCTGTCTGATATAATCTTGGGATACCATCATCATCAAAACCTACAATTAAGGCAGAGATTCCGAAAGGTCTTCGTCCATTGCTCTGGGTATATTTCTGAAAAATAAAATTTATTTTTAGAATAACACTATTTTAATTATTACATACAAATTCTAATAATTAATAGAGAATTGCTATCAAAATGATCTCCTTTCCTAATTCTTATTCTACACATTTTTAGAATTCTTTCTGGACTAATCTCAATTCATAACAAATTTTGAAAGAAATTAATGTATACAATCTGTAAAATAAAACCAACTCTATATAACTGTATAAAATTCTGTGTCTGTGTTTAATTATGTGGCTTGAAACAGCTTAATAGTAGCTTTCTTCCTGGTCTTGTCTATTTATTGTTTCTATTTTCCTTTCGGGTTTTTTTTTTTTTTTGCACGGGGAGGTTCTCAGGACTTACATTTTCTCAAAATGTTTTCCTATTGTGTTGTGTACATTTTGGTAACAAACTAGACTGTAACCTCTTTAATAGTAGAGAACAGTGTTCATGCCATACTCATCTTGGTTCTCAGCAAAACTGACTTCAATGAGTTGTATACTTTTGAAGCACATCCTTGGTTTACCTTGAGGAACACTATAATTGCTACTATTATCATCCAGTATCCTTACTTGATACTATTATTAACAAATATATTCTGTTCACTTATACTAGTTATCTTTACTTAAAAACCCAAGTGAGATATTTCTTTCAGTCCCAAGACAAGGGAACCTTTGTTTCTCTTGAATAAAAAGCATGTTGTTTTTTTTCTCTCACAGACAAAGTGGCACTGGGAACCAATTATATTTCTTATTACTTCAGTGCCAGGGAACTTCCTGGTTTTGTGCTAAAAGGATGGAATTCACACTGAGACTGGTGCTCCTACATGTCATACAAAAAAGCAGCCATGATAGAAAGCTAAGGACTAAAAATTTGGGAAACTTTGTATAACCATATAAAATTCTGTGTCTGTGTTTAATTATGTGGTTTGAAACAGCTTAATAGTAGCTTTCTTCCTGGTCTTGTCTATATATTGTGTCTATTTTCCTTTTTTTTGCAGGGGGAGGTACTTGGGACTGAATTCAGGGGGACTCAACCACTGAGCCACATCCCCAACCCTATTTTGTATTTTGGAGACAGGGTCTCACTGAGTTGCTTAGCACAACACTTTTGCTGAGGTTGGCTTTGAACTTATAATCCTCCTGTCTCAGCCACCCAAGCTTCTGGGATTATAGGCATGTGCCATGGCATCCGGCTTTGCATTTATTTTCTTACTTTTCAATTTTATTATATGAATTTTAAAAAAGCCACTTCAGAATTCAGTGTTAATAGTTAAACTATGAACCTCTTTGAAAATAAAGTTTATGTGTTAATTCCTCTGTACTTCCTAATGTGCCTAGTGTACCTCTAGGCATGAAGTAGTTGCTCTGTAAATATACCTTAGAGGAGAAGACTTTTTACTTTTTTTTTTTTGCTTAATCAACTTTTTTTTTTTTTTTTTTTGTGGTCCTGGGGATTGAACCCAAGGCCTTGTGCATGTGGGACAAGCACTCTACCAACTGAGCTATATCCCCTTCATCAATTTTTTTAAATAAAAAAATTATATATGCACAGGGTTAAAATAATATAAAAGTATAAAAGGTGCTCATGAGATCTATCTTCTGCCCCAGACCTTACCAGTCCCAATCCCACTGTTACAAATTTACAATTCTTTTCATAAAAATTCTATGCACAGCCTCTGCTGCCATATACAAAATACACGTAAAACAAGAGAAAAATAATACTTGTATACATCATGATTACATTTATCATTAAACCAGGTATCTATGCATGGGTTCCAGAAGAAGTCATATCTAAACTTGATCAGCTGTGTTTAGATTCATAGGTGAAAAAAATGGGCATTTCTTTGGAAAAAAAAATTAAAGAATGCTAGTATCTGTATCTCCAGAAGTGTAGAAATTGCCTTAAAAGATTATAGATTTATGCTCTTTTAAGTTTTATATAATTTCCAGAATTGAAATTGACTGGGATATCTAGTGATTAAGTCAATGCATTTTTATCTGAATAAGAGTGTGACTGTGAAGTAACTGTGAGAAAGAATAAAGTATCTAGTAGATTAATAGATCAAATGCTTGGGGTAGCTGTACTGTTTCTATGACAGAACCTAAAATAATGGATTATTACTAGATTAGATATTTTAACTGATTTGAAGAAACCTAATAGAATATTAGCTTACCTGCTTTAAAGTTGCTATGAAGCGAGTTATATATTCTACAGTGACTGGGTCTTCAACTGTAAGCTTATGGCTCTGGCACTCCACCCGGGCTCTGTTTATTACTACTCTAGCATCAGCAGTCAATCCTATAAAAATAGTCAAAATTTTACAAAAATACTTTTTTTCATAATACATATTTTCCTTCTCCAATCAAACCTTTCTTTATAACATCTTTTTTTCTCAATACATGACCTTTATAAAGGAATTATGATATAAGGTGTCACTTAAACATTCTGATTTATTTCCTTTTCAAACTTAATTTGATGCATTCTTTTTTGTAAAGAAAATAGTTTTAAAGATTAATGGTTTAGGGGCTAAGGATGTAGCTCAAAAAAAAAAAAAAAAGACCCAGACATGGCACACACAATAATCCCAGCGACTTGGGCTCAGCTCCTGTTAAGGCAGGAGGATCACGAGTCAAAGCCAGCCACAGCAAAAGCAAGTTGTTAAGTAAGTCAGTGAGACTCTGTCTCTAAATTAAATACAAAATAGGGCTGGGGATGTGGCTTAGTGGTTGAGTGCCCCCGAGTTCAATCCCCAGTAAAAAGAATGATTTAAACACTAATAATAAGCTAGATTTAATCTCCTGAAAATAAGAGTTTTACTTTATATTGTGAAACATACTTCCACTGAATTAAAACTGCATTTAATAAAACCATATTTTTTTGGCCTAAGATCAAGATTTAAAAATCAAGATGTTGAAACAGAAAAAAAGAAACTTTTTTTCAATGCTGGGGAAAAATACAGGGCCTATAACATGCTGTGCAAGTATTCTACCACTGAGCTACACCCCAACTCTAAATTTTTTATTTTGAGACAGTCTTGCCTCATTGTCTGAGCTTGTCTTGAACTTGCAGTCCTCTTGCCTCAGCCTCCAGAGTAGCTGGGATTATAGGTGTGCACCACTGTACCCAGCCAGAAAAAGAAAACATATGACTTTGCTTTTACAATATCAAAATGTCTTGTGATTAGTTCTCAATACTTCCATAAGGAAACAGATGTGTTCTATCAAAGGAATAACAAACTGACTACAAACTTTAACTGATAAAATGGTCACAAACATTTGTATTAAGGATTTATTTAGCATTTGACTTTTATTTGGCCATTTTCTTTCCCCACTCTCTTAATACTAACTAGATTGCCAAAAAAACAAAAAACAAAAAACAAAAAACACAGTTTTATAAAATCTTTCTCACATAACTATCCATCTTTCATGGATTCCCTTCAACAGAGTTTCAAAACCTATTTCTAGAAACCTGAAAGAATCTGAAGACAGATAATATTAGCTAACAATGAAGAAACTGTCTGAACCTCTGTTTGCAATCCCCCTAACACTCATGTAGGGTGTGAATCATCATCACATACACAGTTAAAGAAAAGAAACCAATTCTCTTCTCTTTGCAAAAGTTATATAAGATAAAGAAACGGCAAGAGATTGATTAGTTTACCCTACAGATGAAATCTTCAGTCAATTTGCTTGGCATGGTGGCACATACATGTAATCACAGGCACTAGGAAGACTAAGCAGAAGGACTAAAAGTTCAAGGCCAGCCTGGGCAACTCAGCAAGGATCTGTCTTAATTAGTCAATTAATTTAAAGCAATGGGGATGTAGTTCAATGGTAGAACACTTGCCTAGCATACGGGAAACCCTAGGTATAATAGTCGATACTGCAAAAAATTTAAAACAAACAAAAATCTTCAATTAGAAATATAATCAGATATGTAATTTTGTATTGAATCAAATATATGATATGTCAAGATCATTGTATTGTCTTGAGCAACTAATAAAAAAATTAAAAAAAATAAAAAGAAATATAATCAGATATGGTATGCCAAAGTATTTTCTCTTTACAATGTGAAATGTGATATAAAACTAAGTTACATAAAGAAGTAGTAATATAACTGATTCAAGGAAAAAAATAATCAGTGATAAATTTGCCAAACTTTATAAATAATATAGTTTTATATGTCTGTTTTGAATATAAGTAGCAATTATATCCATCATTTGGTTAGGCAAAAGAGAACAAATTCTATTTGGGGAAAGCATTTAAAATCATAATTTCATTTTGTTTAAAAGCAAGCCATATATAGAACAAATGAGCTCTCAATTTATTTTAAATTTATACCACATTATCTTGAAAATACTATCATCATATAAAATTTATACAATGGAACTCCATATGATATATAATTTAAAAAGATTCTTTCATTCTTCTGAAGGTTTGTTTCCTAAACATTTAAAGCACAGTATAACAATATCAACAAAATGTCATTTTTTTCAAAGTGAAACTATATTTTTTTTACATATGCTCACTATAAACTAGGAAACAAAAGCTACCATTCCAAAATTCATAAATATAATTATATTATACATGTTCTTCTGTAACTTGCCATTTTATATTATACTTGCTTTATATTATACATGTATATTCATATAAATATAAAATGGATACTTTCTTAAGCTAGTACATATTTTGCCACATCCTTTCTTGTTATTTATTTATTTAGGTACCAGGGATTGAACTTGAGGGTGCTTAACCACTGAACCACATCCCCAGCCCTTTTTATGTTTTATTTTGAGACAGGGTCTTGCTAAGTTGCTTAGGGCCTAGCTAGGTTGCTGAGGCTGGCTTTGACCTCATGATCCTCCTGCCTCAGCCTCCTGAGCCACTGGGATTATAGGCTTGTGCCACTGTACCTGAGCTTTTTATATATTAACCATATATGGTACTACTAGTAGTAATAATAATATCTGTTCAACACATGTCAGACATCTTTTTTTTTTTTTCTTTTTTTGGTACTCGGGATGAATTCAGGGACACTTTGTCACGAGCCACATCCCGAGATCTTTTCATTTGTTAGAGACAGGGTCTCACTATGTTGCTTAGGGCCTCACTAAGTTGCTGAGGCAGGCCTGGAACTTGTAATTCTCCTACCTAGCCTCCTGAGTCGCTGGAATTACCACTGTGTGCCCAGACACTATTTCAATGAATCATATGTATTACTCCCTTAATTCTTGTAACAAATCAATGAAGTACTCAAATGGATGAGTAAAGTGAGGAAAGGGGCATTCAAGTACTCTGTCCATAGTACAGGTATAGTAGATAAAGAAGTCTGGCTTTGAACTCAGTGGGAATAAGGACTTCAGAGAGAGAGAGAGAGAGAATGTGTGTGTGTGTGTGTGTGTGTGTGTGTGTTTTGGTACCAGGGATTGAACCCAGGGGTGCTTAACCAGTGAGCAACATCTCTAGCCCACGTTACTTTTTATTCTGAGACAGGGTCTCACTAAGTTGATGAGGCTGTCTTTGAACTTGTGATCTTCCAGCTTCAGCCTCCAAACTGCTGCGATTACAGGTGTGCTCCAGCATGCCCATTTGTATTGAGGTCTTTTTTAAAAAGTATTTATTTATTGTTTTAGTCGTAGTTGGACACAATATCTTTATTTATTTTTATGTGGTGCTGAGGATCGAACCCAGGGCCTTGCATGTGCTAGGCGAGCATTCTATCGCTGAGCCACAATCCCAGCCCTGTATTGAGTTTTTAAATCAAGAAATATGAGACCTCCAGCTTTGTTCTTTTCTAAGATTGGGCAATTCAGGGCCATCTGAAATTTCGTCAATTTCAAATAGATTTTATTAAAAATATCATTGGGATTTTGATAGGAATGCCACTGAAGCTGTATACTGCCTTGGATAGTACTGGCATGTTCATAATAAATTAAGTCTTCCAATTCATAAATTTACAATTCATACATTTACTTCTTTGTATCTTCTTTAATTTCTTTCAGCAACATTTCATATTTTTCAGCACAGAAGTCTTTTACCTCCTCAGTTTAATTTTTTCTAAATAGTATCTTATTCTTTTTGATGTTACTGTAAATGAATTCTGTGTATGTGTGTGAATACAGATTGAAACTAGGAATATTCTGCCTCTTAGTACCATCCCCTGTCAGAATTTTGAGACAGTTCCGTCTGTCTCAGAATATTTTAAATAAAGAACTAGTAAAGGGTGCTTACTAGTTCTTTATTGGAGACAGTCTCCCTAAGTTGTTACAAGTTGAACTTGTGATCTTTCTGCCTCAGCTTCCTAAGTAAGTAGGATTAAAGGCATGCACCTCTGTGCCTGGCATGACAAAATTTTTAAAAGTTACTATTCAAATTTCTTCTTTTTTTTTTCTTTGCTGTACTGGGAATTGAACCCATGGCCTTGAGCATGCTAGGATTAATACTCTACGAGAGCATGCACCTAATTTTTTGAGTTTTGATTTTGTGCCCTGCAACTTTGTTCAATTCATTATTTATAACAATATTTTTGTGTGGAATTGATAGAGTTTCTACATATAAGATCACAATGTCTGTAATCTTTTATAATTTGGATGCCTTTCCTTTCTTTTTCATGCCCAACTACTCTGAATAGGACATTCATTACTATATTGAATAGGAGCGGAGAAGAGGCACCCTTGTCTTATTCTTGATTCTGGAAGAAAAGCTTTTCAGTGTTTTACCAATAAGATATGTGGGTTGTTCATATGTGATCTTAATTATGTTGAAGTAATTTCCTTTTATTCTGTAGTTATTGAGTGTTTTTTAAAACTTTTTTGTAGTTGTAGATGGACAGCATGCCTTTATTATTACACGTTATTAATATGTGTATTTTTTTATGTGGTGCTGAGGATTGAACCCAGTGCCTCCCATGTGCAAGGCAAGTAATCTGCCACTGAGCTACAGCCCCAGCCCCTATTGAGTGTCTTTTGAGGAGTATAATTTTGAATTTTGTCAAATGCATTTTTCTGTACCAAATGATAAGATCATGTATTTTTTCCTTGAATATTCTTTTCCTGTTAACGTGATGTATTTTATTGATTAGTTTTCTTATGCCAAACCATCCTTACACTCCAAAAATAAATTCCACTTGGTCATGAGGTATGATCCTTTTAATATGTTGAATTCAGTTTGCTAGTATTTTATTGATATTTTAATATCACTGTTCATCAGCAATATTGTTTCTATAATTTTATCTTCTTGTAGTATCTTTGCTTTTGGCATCTTGATAATATTAGTCTCATAAAATTAATTTAGAGGTGTTCTCTTTAATTTTTTGGACAAGTTTGAAAATGATTTATTAATTCCTCTTTAAAATGTTTGGTAGAATTTACCAGTGAAGTCATTAGATCCTGGACTATTCTTTGTTGGGAATCTTTGGTAACTGATTCAATTTCTTTGTTATGCCTATTGAGATTTTAAGTTTCATATTGAGTACTTAAAGGGATCTGTGTGTTTGAAGAAATTTTGTTGGTATACAATAGTACTCTCTTAAAATCCTCTATTTCTCTAAAATTGGCAGTAAAATTCCCCTTTTTTTCTTATTTTGATTGAATAATCTCTTTTTTTTTAGTCAATGTAGTAGAGTTGTCAATTTTGTTCACCTTTTCAAAGAACCAATTTTTGGTGTTATTAATATTCTATTATTTTTCTATTCTCTTATTTCACTCTGTGCTGATCTCTATTATTATCTCCTTTTCTAGCTTTGGAATTAGTTTGTCTCATCTTGTTTTTAACATATAGGTTGTTGAGTTAGGTCTCTGTTTTTCAATATAAGTGTTTGCATCTATATTTCCTTTGTAACACTGCTTTAACTCTATTTCCTAAGTAAGGCTGCTGTGTGTTCAGTTATTTATTTCTCTCAGGATACCTGCTAATTTCCCTTGGGCTTTTTTTTTTCTCCCACTCCATGGACAATTTAGGAGTTTTCTGCTTACTTTCCATTTATTTGTAAAGTTTTAGGTTTTATTCTTCTGCTACTTATTTCTAGTTTCATTCCATTTTGATCAGAAAAGATACTTCGTATGATTTTTATCTTTTATATTTATTGACTTGATTCCAAAAGGAAATAGGATAAGAGCTACATTTTGCTGAATAAGATTTTTAAACTTCAATATAAAATTCCAGCTTAAAATACACTTAAAGGGGCCCAGGTTGTGGCTCAGTGGTAGAGAGCTTACCAAGCTTGCTGAGGCACTGGGTTCGATTCCTGGCATCACATAAAAATAAAATAAAGGTATTGTGTCCACCTACAACTAAAAAATATTTTTAAAATACACACTTAAAAAATGAGCAAAAACAAAAAAGATAATGTCTTATCCACTGTACAAAGGGAAATAAGCACATGAAAAATATGTTCAACATTATTAACCACGAGGGAAATACAAATTAAAACCACAATTAAATTTTACTACATGCTTATAGGAATTTCTAAAATTAAAAAAAAAAAAAAAAACTGGGCTGGGCATGGTGGTGCACACCTGTAAATCCCAGTGGCTCAGGAGGATTTCGAGTTCAAAGCCAGCCTCAACAACTTAGCAAGGCCCTAAGCAACTGAGCAAGACCCTGTCTCTAAATAAAATATAAAAAGAAAAGGGGATATGGCTCAGGGTTAAGCACTCCTGGGTTCAATCCCCAGTACCAATAAAAAAATAAATTTAAAAAAATTAAAATTAAAAAACAATTAACGGGCTGGGGATGTGGCTCAAGTGGTATCGCGCTCGCCTGGCATGTGTGCAGCACGGGTTTGATCCTCAGCACCACATACAAACAAAGATGTTGTATCCGCCGAAAACTAAAAAATAAATATTAAAAAAAATTTCTCTCTCTCTCTCTCACTCTCTCTTTAAAAAAAAATTAACAACACCAAATGCCGTTGAGGATGTAGAAAAAAATGAACCATTCATACAATGCTAGTGGGAATATAAGAGTATAGTTACTTTGAAATAAAATTTGGAAGTGTTTTATAAGAATAAGCATGCATTATCATACAATCTAGCAATGATACTCACACAAAAACTATACACAAATGTTCAAAATACTTTATTTGTAATAGGCAAAACCTGGAACTACTCCAAATGTCCTTCAGTGGCTAAGCTGTTAACAAACTGCAATACATTCATACCATAGGATACTACTCAGAAATAAAAGAGGAAAGTATAATTGATATATGCAATAACTTGCTTGGATGAATTGTAAGAAAATTATGCTGAATGAAAAAAGACCACTGAAAAAGCTATATACATCATATGATTTTATTCATATGACATTCTGAAAATGACAAAATTTGAAAATAGAAAGTAGACTTGTGGGGGCCGGGGCTATGGCTCAGTGGTAGCACACTTGCCTAGCATGTGTAAGGCACTGGGTTCCATTCTCAGCACCACACATAAATAAATAAAATCAGGACTATCAACAACTAAAAAAAATAAATTGAATTAAAAAAAAATAGATTAGTGGCTTCCAGAGGTCAAAGATGGGGAGAAGGAATACCATAGGTAGTGTTTTGTGATAGAAGAGTTTGTGTATCTTAACAGTGGTGGTAACTACATGAACCTATACTTGTGGTAAGTATAACTACAAATATGCACATACACATGCAAATTAATGCATATAAAACTGGTGAAATCTGTAAAAACTCTTTAAATATACAAATAAGAATTTATGGGTTTTGAAGGTATGACCATTGAGAGAGACTGAGTAAAGTTAAAGTGAACTTTCCTGAGATTTTTGGAAACTTTTTGGGAATCTATAAGTATTTCAAAATAAAAAGTTGATAGTTAGAAGGTGCAGTGGCACACACCCGCAATCCTAGTGGCTTGGGAGACTGAGGCAGGAGGATCACAAGTTCAGAGCCAGCCACAAGCAACTTAGAGAGACCCTGTCTCAAACTAAAATAATAAAAAGGGGGGCTGAGGCTGGGCTTAGTGGTAGCGCACTTGCCTGGCATGTGTGACACTGGGTTTGACTCTGAGCACCATATATAAAGAAACACAATAAAGATTTATCAACAACTAAAAAAAATAAAATAAAAATTTTTTAAAAATGAATAAGGCCAGAGATGTGACTCAAGGATTGAGCACCTCTGGGTCCAATCTCCAGTATCCGCCCCACCCCCCAAAAAAGTTTATAGTAGCTAGGTATATAGTTTAATGTTAGAGTGCTTACCTACCATGCATAAAGTCCCGAGTTTAATCCCTAGCACTACAAGAACAAAACAAAGCGCGTGTGCGCGTGCACACACATACACATACACATACACACACAACACACACACACACACACACAGCTTAAAAGGAGAACTGCTCCCTAAAGTTCTAAGGAGTTAAAATACTTCTTCTAACATTTATGCTTTATTATCAAAGCATTATCATAAATCTCAGTTTATAAAGTCATAATTTTCTTTTACAAATGTTATATTGTTTGTTTTCAATAAGATATAAAGTATAACTATATATACTGCATATATACAGCAAATTGCAGTAGTAGGGTCAACTGTGTTGCCCCACTGCACTAGAATACTATGCATCATTATTGTTGGTCCATAAGTACCTGCAAAAGCCATGCAGATGTGATCATCAAGAGCACAAATTTTCCTCACAGTTCTTTCATCTTGAAGTTTAGCAACAGATTTTTTTTCTACTCCAAGCACAACTATATTGGTGCCTCTAATTCCAACCTATTGAGTCATTAAAAAAACAGTTAATTTGAAACTTAAGACTGACAAGTTATTCTAATAAATGACTTTTCTTTAAGTATTCAATAAAATGAGAAAAGCAGACTTCTAGGAAAATAGTTGCATAGATACTAGCTTATGGGAGGCCCATTCCCTACACTCAAAGCAAAGAAGATAGATAGGTAGAAATTGCAAAGAAAACACCACTACTGAGAAACTACATGAACACCCTAATCATACACAACGCAATTGAAAAAGTACTATCTACAGTACAATTTTAACTAAAAGAAGATGGTAATCCATGTAAATTCCTTATAGAGTGGCAGTACCAGAACTGATAATGAAAGTAGTAAAAAAAACAAAACCTGAAGTATACAAAATTCTGCAAAAGCTCTCTCATGTATCTCACAATTTGGAGGGATAGAAATTGGAGGTTGTTGTAGCTCCACTCCAAATACACATGTTGAAATCCTGATCCCCAAAGTGATAATATTAGGCATTCGGGCCTCCGGGAGATAATTAGTTCATAAGAGTGGAGTGCTCACAAATTGGATTAGTGCCTTATAAAAAGATCCAAGGAAGCTCATTTGCTTCTTCTACCGTGTGAGGACAAAGCAAGTAGGGACCATCTGTGATGTAGGAAAGAGGTCCTCATTGGACACCAAATTGGCCTTGATATTAGACATCTCAGTCTCTGGAATTATGAGAAATAAACTTCTTAGTTTATAAACTAATCAGTTTATGGTACGTAAAGCCAAATGTGATGACATTAAAAATGCTTTATATAACAATGCAAAGAGGTGTTCTCTGAATCAGCATTTTTGAAGTATAAGTACACAACAGATTAAATAGAAAGACAGACTGAGATTAAATCTTTCAGTTAAGTAAAACATAGACAATTTATCAAGGCATTTGCTTTTATTGTTCCCTCATTTCATTTAAATCTGTCAGTTTATCCAAGAGACCTTCCCTAACCATCCTAAGATGAGCAATGCTCTCTGCATATCCCATCCTCATCGAATGGACAAATGTTTAACTTTATATACTATAGGTACTCTTCTCATGGACATTATAACAATTTAACATACGTTATGACTCAAAAACATCCCAGTATATTCCCCAGATTAAAACAAATCAAATGAAATTTATTGATCATAAGTTATTTTTATAACTCTCACCTAAATAATTTAACTCCCAAGGCAGATTATTTAGAAAATGCTGATAATAAATATATTAATATTAAAGTCTTTGGGATATGGCCCAAATTATGCCCATGAGAAAATTCATTATCTTACGTTTCTAATTAAATAAGAAAAAAATTAAAAATTAAGTAATAAAGCATTCAAAAAGTACAAAAAGAAATTCAAATATTTAAGCTTAGCTAAAAAGGAAAAATAAAGAAGCAAAAATGAATGTTTAAGGAGAAAACAATAAAATTGATAAATAATACCAAGATTTTTTTTAAACAAAAGAAATCTCTCTATTAATCTAACCATGAGGACAGAATAAAAGAAATGTATTCAGGGGCTGGGGGTGTAGCTCAGTGGTAGAATATTTGCCTCGCATGGGTAAGGCTGCCTCACACGGTAAGGCACTGGGGGTTTAGTCCTCAGCACCACATAAAAATACATCAATCAATCAATAAAAGGTTAAAAAAACTATTTTAAAATGTATTCAAATGTGAAAAAGTAGCAATTTAAAAATTATAGCTCTAATTTAATAAACTTGAAAATCTGAAAAGGATGACAGGGAAAAAATAAATTGACTCCAGAAAAGACATGGCTGGGGTTGTGGCTCAGTGGTAGAGTGAGGCCCTGGGTTTGATTCTCAGCACCACATAAAAATAAATAAAATAAAGGTATTGTGTCCAACTACAATTAAGAAATAATTTTTTTGAGAGAGAGAGAGACAGAGAGAGAGAGAGAGAGAGAGAGAGAGAGAGAATCTTTCAATATTTACTTTTTGGGGGACAAAAACATCTTTATTTTTATGTGGTGCTGAGGATTGAACCCAGCGCCCCGTGCATGCCAGGCAAGTGCGCTACCGCTTGAGCCACATCCCCAGCCCAGGGATTTTGGAAAAAAAAAATACAGACACCTTAGTCTTGCTAATAAATATGGATAATATTCAGAAAAAAGTATTGTTCTTCAAAAATAAGTATGAGATTTGGAGGACTCAATGGTGAATTCTTTTAATTTTCTGTTCTAAGTAATTCCTAAGCTATTTAAATTATTCTATGTTAAAGTTAAAACTATAGTAATACAATTATATTAAATATAGAAACAAATGTAAATAAGAAAACTTACAAAGGTATCTGATAAAATTCAACATCCATACCTAATTTACTAACAACATAAAAACAGAAGACTATATTCCACATGATTAAATTTGTCACAAACTAGAAACCAGATTAATTTTTCTGATTCATCTCAGAAAATGAATCTCTATCTGCTCAACTGTTTAAACAAATGCCCAGATGCTATGTGTAGTAGTCAGTTTTTTGTTATTTTAATAAAATATCTGAGATAATTAACCTATGAACAGAAAAGGTTTACTCTGATTCATGGTTTTAGAGATTCCAGTCCAAGTTCAGGTGGACTCATCATTTTGGGTTTCTGATGGGGGTGCTAGATGGTAATGGTGGGAAGCAAATAGGGAACAAACTACTCACATCGTGAGCCAGGAAGCAAAAGAGAAAAGGAAGAGGAAAGAGATCAGGATCCCATGATCTCCTTCAAAGGCACAATTCCAGTGACCTAAGCACCTCCTACAATGTTCTACCTCCTAAAAATTCCACCATCGCCCAAAAGAGACCAAAAGTAAACACATGGGTAGGGGGGTGACATTCAATATTCAACTATTAGCACCATCCTTTATCACTCTCTGTCCCTCCCGATCCTTTTTCACAATTACCAAGCGTCCAAGAGTCTGTCCATTTTACCTACAGAAACTATCTATTACTTTCTATCATCAATGCAGTAAAAGCAACTACCATTTTCATCATCAGGCTACTGCAACAGCCTAACAAGATTTCTCAGTTTTTACTCTCGTTTCCTGACTATCTGAATCCACACAGTCCCCACTGGACCTTCATGCAGTTTCCATAAAGCAGCCAAGGTGGGCATTTTAAAACATCAACAGAGTCAGATTATGTTCCTATTGACTTCCCTTCCACAATCTGCCAAGGCGCTTAGTTATCTGACCCCTGCATGTGTCTCCAACAGCATGTCATATTCTTCCTTATTCATCAAGTGCCAGCCAAACTAGTGTGTTTTCTTCCTCCATGTCTTCATGTGTTACATTCCTTCTACCTGGAACACTTATCTCTCAACTTAAATTTTAGCTCAAAAAGTCCTTCTCTTGGGCTGGGGATGTGGCTCAAGTGGTAGCGCGCTCGCCTGGCATGCGTGCGGCCTGGGTTCGATCCTCAGCACCACGTACAAACAAAGATGTTGTGTCCGCCAAAAACTAAAAAATAAAATAAAATTTAAAAAAAAAAAAGTCCTTCTCTTAAAAAAAGTTATTTTCTTCTAATCAACAAATTTATAATTATTTGCTTATTATAGTTATCTTTCTAAACATTAATTCTGCAAAGGCAAGGAAACCATGAGCTGAATCTAGAAAGTGCAACATTCTACAAATCAATTAGCCCAGTCTCTTTAAGTCAAGGCATAAGAATAGGGGAAGATGTTGTTCAATAATAAAACAGAAATATTTAACAGCTAAGTGCTATAAAAAGATATTTTGTGAGCAATTAGAAAAATCAGAACACAGGCTATTATAATATATTAAACAGTTATCATTAATTTCACTCATAGTGAGAATGGTTTTAAGAAACATCTTTATATTTTAGAGAAATATACTGAAATGTAATGATTATCTAGGATTTGTTTTTAAATACTTCACCCAAAAATAAATTTCATTCTGAAGCTGACACCTACATAAAAATTAATTCAAAGTGGATCGCAGATTTAAATATAAGATGTAAAATAATAAAATTTTAGAAAAAAATAGAAAAACTTTGGGATCTAAAGCTAGGCAATAATTCTTAGATTTGATACCAAAAACATGAACTACACAAAGAAGAAATTATAAATCTTCTTTGAAGTTACAATTTATCCATGAAGTTCTATGAAAAAATGATGAAAATATATGCAACAGACTGGGAGAAAATATTTGCAAAACACATATCTGAAAAGGACTAGTATCTAGAATATGTAAAGAACTGTCAAATATCAATAGTACAAACATAAGCCATTCATTAGAAAATGCTCAAAAGATGCATTTCAACAAAGAAGACAGATGGCAAATAAGTACATGAGAATATGTTCAACCATCTATCATTAACCATTAATGTCCAACTTAGTTAATTTAATTAAAACCACAGATACGAGCCACTACACACTTATCAAGATGATTAAACCAAAAAACAGTAACACCACCAAATGCTGGCAAGGATGTAGGGAAACTAGATAACTCATACATTGCTAGTAGGAGTGTAAAACTATGTAGTTACTGTAGGAAACCATTTGGCAGTTTCTTATAAACTACCCAAGCAATTACACATAACATGCACACTGAGGCACTTATACCAGAGAAACAAAAACTTGTTTTCATGCTTTGGCTTCCTTTCTAGGGATTGTTCTATCACTAGGAAAGGATCAATGCCATCAATGTGCTGCTTTCCTCTTTACTCCCTCTTCCCAGGCCACACTATTTGGGGGTTTGTCATTTTCCATATCTAATATTAAATGTGTAAGAGATTTAAGGCTATCCTTTGATTTTTCTTAACCAATTCACACCTGTGATTATTGTTACCATACACTCTGGATTCTAAATCGCACTTTAAAAGTTAAGCTCAGTTAAATGTAAACCTTTGGAGAACACTTTGCCAAGTTGGTGTTCTCCAAACTAAAAGTTATGTGTAGCAAAAGTCTTGGGTTTGTATGGAAATAACAAGTTTTGTTGGTATTTATTCATGTATTTGATGTTTTAGAGTTGGA